TGTGAAAGACCTGAGACCATGGAGACTCACTGCCTAGTCAAATTATATCAGAGGTCCCCAAGCTTTTTGAGCCTATGGGCACATTTGGAATTCTGACAGGGGGATGGATGGGCAAAGCAACAAAATGGCTGCCACAGAAAAGGCAGAGCCAGCCACAAAATGTTTGCCACAGCTTAGCTTCAGTAGCATAGTAGAGTGTTGTGCTGTGGTGGCAGCTGCTGCCAAAGCAACCTTTTAAAAAAATCTGTACAGCCAATCAAATCAAATCTCCAATAGCCAATCAGAAGCCTTGCTGGACAAAAGCCCTATCTGGCCCCACCCACTTTCTAAAAACACCTCACAGGCGCCAGAAAAGGTGTCTGCTGGTGCCATGGAGCCTGTGGGCACCATGTTGGGGACCCTTGAAGTAGATAGTGCTGACCTTGATGGGTCAATGGCAGTAAAACTATACTCCATATAAGGCAGCTTTATGTGTTCAGACTGGCTCCAGGGATTTCCCTGATTTCATCCTACTTTAATTGTCAGGAATTTTGAAGATTGACTTAATGCTATTTTTAAGCATAGATATAAGGGAAAATGAGGGTTGCAGTGGCTCAAGTGGTTAAGACGCTGAGCTGCAGACCAGAAGGTCAGTAGCTCCACAGTTCATGACCCGAGTGCCGAGTGACAAAGTGAGCTCCCGTTTCTGGCCCCAGCTCCTGCCAACCTAGCAGTTCGAAAGCAAGAAATTGCAAGTAGATAAATAGGTACCACTTCGGTGCACCTCGGTGTTTAGTCATGCTGGCCTCATGACCACGGAGAAGTCTTCAGACAGCGCTGGCTCTTTGGCTTGGAAACGGAGATGAGCACTGCGCCCTAGAGTTGGATTTGACTGGCTTTCGAGCAAGGAAAACCTTTACCTTTATAAGGGAAAATGCATCCAATGTCTTGCCAGCACACTACCTCACTTGAGAGCAAGCAAACATTGGAAAAGGCACAGGATGGTGCTGGGCTGGGGGACCAGGAAACAACTGGTGACTCCTTCCATATGTGGTGGTCCTGCCTTACAATTCAAGGCTTTTGAAAACATCAGAGATAAAATTAAGGAAATCACAAGCAAACAACTCTCTAAATTCCCAATTCTTGCTCTTTCTTTTCTTCTTCTTCTTGTCCTCCAAAAAAGAGCATGCAGATTTTTTGCTAGCTGCTGTGAAACTATGTGTGGCCTGACAATGGATATCCTGCACAGTTCCAATCACTGGCCCCAGCAGATGGGCCGCTGGTAAGAGAATTCACAGGACACGTATTGGTGGCCAAGGCTTTGAGAATGAAAAATGCCTCTTCAGAAATATTGATGTCCTTTATAGTTATGGTGATAAAAATAAATAGATTATGACAAAGGCAGTGTTCATTTGCTGTAATAATAGAGTAATACACCATTTTAATGTTCAACATTGTATCTCCTATGATCTGTAATTTTATTGATTGTGCCTCTTGGGGTGGGGGGTGATGGGCAGGGGTCGATTTAGAGGGAAGGCTGCATGGTATATGTACCCAATTTCATCAGACCTCAGAAGCTAAGCAAGTTTGGAAGGTTCTGCAGAGGAAGGCAACGGCAAACCACTTCCTATTTATTTATTTACATTATTTATAGTCCGCCTTTCTCATTTGGACTCAACAGATTACACAGAATAAGTCAATACAGTCAACGGGATGGGACATTCAATAAACAATGCAATCGGATTAGAGTTGTAGAGCCAACCAGAAATCTAAAAAACAGACCTCAAGCAAAGCATAAGTCTTAACATGACACATTAAATGATGCAAAAATTACATCGTAGGATCCTAATCTCAGGAAGCTAATCACAGTAGTGTAGACCACTGTCCCTAATCATTTACCTAAGTAACCTTGTGAATCGTTTAGTACCGTGCGACTCTTTTGCCTGCATAGAAAAGCTCTCTTGAACAATTCAGTTTCGCATAGTTTGCAGAAAGCCAGGAGAGGGGGAGCCTTCCTGATCTCCTCAGGCGGACCCTGCCACAAGGTGGGGGCCACAACAGAGAAAACACATGTTGCTTCCAGTGTTCCCTCTAAGCTGAGTTAGTGTGAGCTAACTCACAGTTTTTTAGCCTCCGGCTCACACATTTTTGTCTTCGCTCAGGAAGGATGGCTCCAGAGCAGGGGTGGCCAAACTGCGGCTCGGGAGCCGCATGCGCCTCTTTCACACATATTGTGTGGCTCCCGGCCGGGCGGCTGGGAAAGCAAAGGGAAGGTATGCCTCCCCGATCGGTCTTCCCTTCCCCAGCCGGTGTTCTCCTCCCTCGGTAGGCTTGAGGCAGCAGAGAAAGAGAGCAACTTTAACTTGAAATGCATTCTCAAAGCTCCCCCCCTCCCCAGCCTACAAATATCATTGGATAACTAAATAGCATTATCAAATATCTGTTTTTACCCCTTTTGTTTTTATTTCAGCAGTCTTGTTTAATGTTAATAAAAAGCAAATGTGCATAGTTTTCAATAAAAATGTGTAATATTTGTTCATGTCTTGCAGCTCTCAAACATCTGATGTTTATTCTATGTGGCTCTTACATGAAGCGAGTTTGGCCACCCCTGCTCCAGAGCAACTAATTTCTGCAGTAGCCCAGTCGCTTGCTCACAGCTTGAATGCCAGTAGCTCACAAAGCAGAGATTTTGCTCACAAGACTCCACAGCTCACAATGCTTCTCACTTGCCATAAATGCCCTTCCCTGGGGACGCCATAAATTGGTTGTGACTTGACAGCACATACATCCGTGTTATTTGCATAGCATTATTACCTCTTTTCAAGTGATGAAAGTGATTCCTTCTTTCTAGCATCCCTATTTTAATGGCTTTTCACACGACATAACTTCTGGTGCACAAGGATTTGACTGTATTTCTTAATTTTGTGTACAGCTGCCCCCCCCCCAAAAAAGTCAAGATTAAGAGACAGCCAGTGTGCTGCACTGGTTAGAAAGACTAAGATCTGGGAGACCCATTTTTGAATCCCAGCTCTGCTAGGAAGATGGCTAGGCTGAGTGACCTTGGGCCAGTCATGCATTCTCAGCCTAACCTACCTCACAGGGTTGTAGTGAGGATCCCCAATTGGGAAGAAAGGCAGGGTATAACTGAAGAAAAAATAAAATTCTAAAATAGTTTTAGGGAGGCAGCTCCTGGTGATGCCCTCCTTAGTTGCTGCTTTTGGATAGGTAAAATGTAAAGGTAAAGGTCCCCTTGCTCGAAAGCCAGTCGAATCCGACTCTAGGGTTGCGGTGCTCATCTCCGTTTCAAAGCCGAAGAGCCAGCGCTGTCTGAAGACGTTTCCGTGGTCATGTGGCTGGCATGACTAAACACCAAGGCGCACGGAACGCTGTTACCTTCCCACTGAAGTAGTACCTATTTATCTACTTGCAATTGCTTGCTTTCAAAGTGGTAGGTTGGCAGGAGCTGGAACTAGAGACAGGAGCTCACTCCGTCATGCGGCACACTCGGGTCTTGAACTGCTGAACTACTGACCATCCACAGCCTGCAGTTCAGCGTCTTAACCACTTGAGCCACCGCAGGTACAGGGAAACTAAATCGATGGGGCTCAAAAGATGGGCTTATAAACGTCATTCATCCTCCCTAACTATCTCACCCTGATTTAAGCACTCTTATAGAACAATCTGAAATATAGTTAGGCCATTGAAATGGGTTGAGGATTGTGGGGTTCATATAAGTAGGGAAAAGTAGGCCTCCTATTGCAAGACAATGTTTAGGTTGCCAGCCTTCAGGTGGGGCCTGGAGATCTTCTTGAATTACTACTGATCTCCAGGCTCTAGAGCTGAGTCCCCCTGGAGGGGCTAGCTGCTTTGGAGGGTGGACTGTATGGCATTATACCCCACAGAGCAGGGGTGTCAAACACAAAGCCAAGGGGCCAGATCCCGCCATCCAGGGCTCTTATGTGGCCGGTGAGCAACTGATGTAAGGGAGGAAGTGCTGGGGAGAGTGGGCGGAGCCTCTCCATTGTGGCTTCAGCAGGGCAGAACAACCTCACCTGCAGCAGTCAAGTATCATGGGAGCATTATTTATTTATTTATTTATTTATCATTCAATTTATATCCCGCTCGAACCCCGAAGGGTCTCTGAGCAGCTTACACACAATTTGGTTCCTAACTAGGGCCACAATTATAGGGGGGAGTGACGTCCTACCAGCACCCGGCAGCAGGACTTGTTGTTGCTATCTGCCCAGCAGCTGCACTGCTGCCTCTCCAGTCGGCCTATGTGGGTTTTCCTCTGCAAACTCCCCCCCCACCCCTGGATCCTTGCAGTGAGGACACACCAACTCAGAACTTACCAGCTGCTATCCTTTATACAGTTTATATCTCTGGTACCTGATGTTACATTTTATGGCACACGTGTCCCGGCCCAACAAAGTGACATTTATGTCAGGTCCAGCCCTCTGTAACAAATGAGTTTGACACCCCTGCCATAAACGGCCCTCCCGAAATCCTGGCCTTTCCAGGCTATGCCCCCGAATTTCCAAGATATTTGTAACCCAAAGTTGGCAACCCTAGGCCAGCCTCTTGCGCACATTCGCACTCCTCATTAACTAACACGGAAGAGCCATTTTCGTAACCACAAGGGTAAAAGAGAGTCCTCACTTTGCCCTCAGTATACACGGGAAGCGGGGGGGGGGGGGGGGGGGGGAGCCGGTCGCGGAAATCTAACCTCTTGCCCTACCGCAGGGATATCACTATTCCGCGTTAAAGGATCTTTTCGCGGGCACCCTCGGAGGTTCTTTCACTGCTCTTTCCTTCCCATTGGCTGCTACTTTTTTGAAGTATCCGCTTCGCCCAGGCCAGAGGGGTCACTGGACTAGAGCACCGAGCCGCGGCCGGTTTATGTTGCAAAAGGAAAGAGCGCCGGACAACTTGAGACCGCGGGCCAAGCCGAGAGGAGCGGGGCAGGGTCCAAGAGCCCGGAGCGAGAGGTGGGCGGGGCCCGGCGGAGAGTGGGCGGGGCCGTGTCAATTCCCCAGCCCCCGTGAGGCTTTCTTTGGCTTCGCCTTGCCGCCTCGGGACCGAGAGTTCATTCCTTGCCGCTTTTGATCCTTAAGGGACTTTTTCCTTGCTGCGCAAATTGCCAAACTGGGGGCAAAGCGGCAGCGATGTCTTCGGTGCAGGTGCTTTATCCTCCCAAGATCCACCACAGCGTGCTCAGCCCGAGCTTCCCCAAAGAGGAGCCGGCTCAGGGTAAGTGCCCGGGGCGCTTCTGAGAATTGCTTGCAAACCCGGCGCATTAATACGAGGGGCTGATCCACGAACACGCGGATTGTCTGCGGGAAGGTGCACCGTTCTATGCCGAGGGTGACAGCAGGGGGAGAAGAAATCCTTGCATTTAGTTCCAGAATTAGATTTTCTCTCCCCCTCCACATTTCGCTTGGGATCCCCGAGGACACCATCTGGGGTTCTCCCAGACCAGTTGCCCTCGATTTATAATGTCCTTTGGGCTTCCCTCCCTCCCTGATACCGCAGCTTGTGAGAACCCGCAAAAGGGCATCGCTTGACTTTGTATCAGTTTAACTGTCAGGGCTTTCTCCAAAGAATCCTGGGACTTGTAGTTTTGCTGAAAGTGCTAAGACCTTTGTGTTAAGACAAAATTTCTTCCCCAGCCCTCTCTAAGGACTACAGTTCCCAAGGTTCCCTGGGGAGATTAAATAAATACGTAGTGCGTTCGAATCTGATGCGTAGCTGCAATCCCTTTTCTGACGGCACTGGTGACCCTGCAGTAGAGGTCTACAGAGGAGCAACATTGCCACAAAAGGCCAGAGAGACTGCGTGCTTGCTGCATTTCAGCCGTGGGGATCAGTACAGCGACCACCTGTTTTGTTTTTTCTTAAAAGAGAGTCAGCTGAGAATCATTTTTTTTTTTTAAATCACTGATTCCCTCTTTTATCAGCTTTGCTAAGGACAAGGGTTAGCGCGCAAACCAAGTCTTGGACCGGTGTGATTGATGTTTATAGAGCTGCCCAAGATACTGTTTTCTTGACGGTGGTACCGTAGAGGACACACTGCCGGGACAATATTTAAGAACCGCGTCCTCTGTGATATTTCCAATGAATTCCTTGTTGCGAAGTTTAAAGAGATCAGGAGAGTTGCACCTCAGTGCTGACCTCTATGGGCAGCAAGTGGCTCTGCAGGAGTTTCTGGCCTATTGCAAGGAAACCCTCTGCCCACAAACTTGCCATTGGCAAGTTCCTCTCTCTTCCCCTGGGTTCGGTTCTGAACTAGGTTCAAGCAAGTGCAAGCACTGAATAATTAACGACCATCGGAACCCATTGAGCCGGGTACAGATTTTGGGGGGGAGTCGACTGTGTATTCAGAGTACCTAGCCTTGAACCTGCTTTCCACTGGCAATGGGAAGCATTTGCCTGACAGCTGTAAAAATAAATAGGCCACTGGGATGGGCAGGCAGTTTTATGCGTGTTAGCTGTTAGTAACTGCCTATGTCATACTTTCTGAATCCCTGCCCCTCTGGCCAGGACTTGTCACTCAAGAAGTCTGTCCTATATCAAGGGCCACTAACCATCTATTGCCTGCTTCAGAATGTTCAAAGACCTGTTCAAAAAGAAAACCCAATGCAGTAACTGCAGCAATCCTGTAAGATAGGTCAGTATAATTTTTCCTCACTGTAGGAGACATCTCATTGAGGTGGAGAGAGCCCTGCCTAAATCCACCTAGGGACTCCATAGCAGGGATGAGATTGGACTTGTCTGGTAGCTCATTCATTGACAGTGCAGAGTTCCTCCAGTCTAATCGGCTGACTTCCATAAAGGCACCTCTAGCAGTTTATTTTATATGCTTGTAATTTTTTTTGTTGCCATCAAGTCACGCCCATGGGATTTTGAAGGCAATAGATGTTCAGAGGTGGTTTACCATCACCTCCCTTGCAGCCCTGTTATTCTGTGGTGGTCCCCCATCTAAATACTATCCAGGGCCAACCCTGCTTAGCTTCTGACATCTGACAGTATCAGGCTAGCCTGGCCCATCCAGGTCAAGGCATGCCAGTGATAGGGAGTCTGATTTACTTTATGTTAGTAATGCCCAGGATGTTCACTGAAAATCCTGGCTACGTTTTCTACTTTGAAAACAACTACCAATACAAAAAAGTGCCTGCAATATCTCCTCCCCTCTTTATTAATATAAACTGGAGTCTTGTGGCTCCTTAAAGCCTAACAAAATTTTATTCCAACATAAGCTTTTTGTGGATATGAGTGAATCGTCAGTATTTTATGTGAGAGACTGGGGGGGGGGGGAGAAGAATTCAGCAGGTCAGGATGCAAAGCAGCACAGGGTGGAATCTAATTGTCACCATTAAGAAAAGTACAAAGGCCGTTCACATATTGTGGAATAAAATCGTACCACAAAGACTCCCTCCGTTGTAACAAAGTTTGAGTCCGATGGCACCTTTAAGGCCAACAAAGTTGGATTCCGGGTTAACTTTGTTGGTCTCAAAGGTGCCACTGGACTCAAACCTTGTTCTATTGCTTCAGACCAATAGGGCTGCCCACTCTAAACTGTGAAGTGAGCAAAAATTCTACTTTGTGAGCTACTGGCATTACAGTTGTGAGCAAGTGATTTGGCTACTGGATGAATTAGTTTGCTCTGGAGCCATCCTTCCTGAGCTAAGAGAAAAATGTGTGAACTGTAGGCTAAAAAACTGTGAGCTACCTCACACTAACTCAGTTTAGAGGGAACACTGCTGCCCACCTGAGTCCCACTCCATGGTAGTTCCTGGGGCAACAACCCCAGGAGAGGGACATCATCCCCTTTGGACCCATCCCCCTTCTCTGGCAGCCTTTTCCCTCTGCCCTCCTTATCTGAAGAAGTGAGCAGTGACTCACAAAAGCTCATAACCCTGCCACAAATTTTGTTAGGCTTTAAGGCGCGACTGGACTCTTGCTCTTTTCTGCCTCTCACCCCTTGGCATACTTAGGCGATCACCCCTTTTACTGGAATCCTCCCTGGTCAGATGATCCCCACCAGAGCTTTGGCCTTGCGGGTTGTCTCACGTGGCTCGCCTTGTCCCCTTTTCCCGGCACCGTTGTGTCTCCTACAAAGATCACAACAAACAACCTCCCTCTGCTTTTCTTTCCGGGGGGTGGGGGGAGGAGACGGCATGTTCCTCGGCGTCCGATGTGGCACACATTATTCCCCCTCATCCAGTCCAGACCCTTCTCGGGTTCACCCCCTCCCCTTCCCCCGCAGCTCTTGCTGCACTTTAGCGGTGACGTGGGCGGACTGCTTATCGAGGCATTTTATGGCCTGGAGCTCCCTGACTTGGGAGCATTTCTGGCATTCCAAGGGAGCTTTGCTAGAGCCACAGTTTACGGCATTCGGCTTATCGCTTTCAGGCTGCAGTGCGGGGAAAGTGAAACCGGGCGGACGGGCGGGCTCTTCCAGCGGGGGTTGGGGAAAAGGTGGTGTGTTCATGTGGAGTCGTAGACGAGGTATATTTCTAGGGCAACGGTTGGTTTCTATCGCGTTGCATTTCAGCTTCCGCCGCCGGGCTTCTTAGGAGATGTTCATAGCAAACTGTTCATCAGCGGCCCGGCTTGAAAGATTTGACCTTCAGAGGTAGTTTGGCTTTGTCTGCCTCTGCGTCACGACCCTGGGCTTCCTTGGTGGTCTCCCATCCAACTACTGACCAGAGCTGACCTTGCTTAGCTTCTGATGTCTTAGCTTGCCTGGAGACCTGGACTATCCAGGTCAGAGCTCAAAATGGGTGCTAATACAAATATAATTAAAAGCCTAGTAGCACCTTTAAGACTAACAAACTTTATTGTAGCATAAGCTTTCGCGAAACACAGCTCTCTTCGTCGGATGCATGGTGCATCTGACGAAGAGAACTGTGTTTCTCGAAAGCTTATGCTACAATAAAGTCTATTAGTCTTAAAGGTGCTACTGGGCTTTTTACTATTTTGCAGCAACAGACCAGACGGACAGGGCTAACGCCTCTAAATCTAATACAAATATAGGCAGGGGTCATCGAGGAAGAAGTGGCAGGCAGCTTAAGAAACTGGAGAGCTGCTATATTGAGATATATAGTTTGGACTTCTTCGAAATTTAGAGGCGCTTCCCCCCCTCCCCATCGCTTGGTTCTAGAAATCAGGAGTCTTTCCGCGCAAGGCAATGACATCCCATTACTCCGATGCGAAAACAACACAATCCTGATAAAGGGTGTTATGTGGATGGCTTTTCAAAACAACTGCTCCCGTCTTTACAGCATACCTGAATGAGTGGCTGCACTTAATGGTGTGGAGGTGGAGTCTAGCCCCTTGCCGGTGCTTCTGAAGGGGCAGATCCAGTGTAAATACAGAAAGAGGTTGCAGGTCGTTCCAAAGCAAAATCCAGAACCAAAAGCCACGTTATACCTTTTACTTTATGATCTATAGAAATGCAAGTGGTTCCACCAGATGTAGGTTGTCCCGGCACTGTAAGGGGTGGGCTTCGATGCATGTCAAGCCGTGGATGAGGGAAGGCAACTGAGGGCGGGGGGGGGGGGAATAATGCCTAACTGCTGTTGACTCTCGCAATATTGTAGGCTTGCGGTAGTTATGCAATCCGGGGAGGGGAGAATTATGGCGAGGCGCTGGGCTGCTTCTCAGTATGATCGTCTGAGTGAGTGTCAGGAACAAATGCCTCGTCCATAAATCAGTCGGCACCGGAGCTAAACTCCGGCGTTACTGCGAGTCAGCATTCTCGTGGCAAAGGGCAGAGACCGAAGGCATTAATAGCAGCAGCAACAAGAGACACCCCCACCCCCCCGAAGGAAAAGAATCAGGTGAACCCAAAATGGTGCATGGAATAAGCAGAAGAAGCAAGATGAATCCGCTCACTCTCTCCGCCCAGTTCGTAAATCTAGCTTTAAAGAGCCAAGATGAAGCCGGATCGCACGTGGGTAAACGAGGAGGGGGAGTAAAAAGTGAATAGGAAAGCTTCTCGCGCGCCTCCTCTGGATTGGCTACAGTTACGCGCCGCTACGCTTCTGATTCGTTAAGAGCCATCCCCTCCCGCCCTCTGTTGAAGCTGGTCCTTTCCTGTAAATCTTGAGGACTGTTTGTTCGTCCCCCAAGCGGGTTAGCCCCGCCCTGCCGGCGGGGGAACCGAACTCTTGCTTTTGCCTCTAATTGGCTGGGCCTTTCGCCTTCTTCACGAGGCTCGCTTCCCGATTGGCCCGCGTCGGCGTGGAGTTGGAATTCTTGTAAAGCGGAGGAATTTCAAGACGCACGTGGTGGCGGGCGCTGCTTCAGTAGCAACAATTACGAGCCTCGGGTTGTAGGCAAGCTGCTGGCTGTTAGATTGTTCTCCTGAAAACCATGCTTTTGTCTCAGGAGCCCGTTTGCCAGGGAGGACCGCAGACGCCCGGAGCGGCCCCGAAGGATCCTTGCCACATGGGTATATATTAAGGTGTATTACCTGTTTATGAGTGTCTTTGTGAATGAAAGTCCTGGGGATGGAGAAAGCCGCAGCTAAAATCTTTCTCAGAAATTTGTTTTGTTCCCAGTACGGCTAAAGGCCGACGACTTCCATGGGAATTCCTTTTTGCGCTGACCCTCCGCTCTGTTTCTTTGTCGCTTTCAGGGAAGGCGACCTTGGAATCGCGTTACCACCTGGGAGCTTTGATCGGTAGCGGCGGCTTCGGAACTGTGTACGCAGGGACACGGCTCAGCGATTCCGTCTCGGTGAGTGTGCGTCGGCGGGTTTTTTTTACGGGAAAGGAATGTATATCAGTGAGGAATTGTAACCCCATCTATAGTTCTTGGGCTGCATTGGAGTAGGCTGCAGTTAGGAAGTGGTACATTCCCCCATATCATTGACTTTCTTTATTTTCAGTTCTAATTTTTTACTACTCTCTCCCTGCCCTCTGGCTAGTTTTATTTAAACTGGCTTCTGTCCTTCACCTAATTCTTGTCTTCACAAGAATGAGGTGTTTCCTGAACCTTCAGCTTCCATTGGGCATAGTGGGATTTCCCAATTGCTTCGTTTTTTCCTAGCTTACTGAACAACGACCAAATTGAATGTTTGATAAATATCTGTTGTATTAATGAGGTCAGACAGGTCATGGAGCATGTCTCATATTATCCTATTTAGGGATATCAGTTTGTACTATGACCTAGTTTGCTCCTTCAAAAAGAGTCTTTGGCACTGCTGGTTCCAAGCTCTTAAAATATTCCTATGAAAATCCATCAACCACAGCCAGCCGTCTTATTCTCTGCTTAAAACATTTGCTTATGCACAGCTTTTATAACTGGTGCAAATTTCAGCTGTAAAGAAGAGCTGGTAATGTGCATGGAGAGACTCCTTGTGCACTCAAATTGAGATCTGCATGTGGAGGAATTTCCAAATCAAAATACCTTTAAAGGTCCTGACTCTATAGCTCTGCATAACATTTGAGGAAACATTTTTGCTGGGGGGAAATGCTTCTTGTGCTGCCAGGCCCCCCCCCCCCCCCGCACTTCTGGTTATGGTCCTTTCTATGACATTTCTCTAGTGCAGTCATCAAGATATCATGGGACTGTTTGGATGTAGATAAAAAGGATTGTATCATCATATAATAAAATCAATGGGAGTTATTTCCTTAAATTCAAGAATACTTTCCTTTATGTACTTTTTATCTACTGTGCGTAGATCCTCCCAATCAATGCTCCCTCTAAGCTGTGGAGCCTTGTGAGCAAAAATTCTACTTTGTGAGCTACTGGCATTAAAGTTGTGATTTGGCTACTGCATAAATAAGTTAGTTCTGGAGCCAACCTTCTGGAACTAAGACAAAAATGTGTGAGCTGGAGGCTAAAAAAACTAGCTAACTCACAGTAACTCAGCTTAGAGGGAACACTGCTTCCAATACGTGCTGTAATTGTTTAAGTAGTGTTTACCGTGCATATGCAACTCTGTTATGCACAAACTGACTGCTAGATTTTGTTTCCAAGTTTGTGTTTATGCACAGAACAAAGTATAAAAGTATTTGAAGTTTCAGAGATGAAAAATAGGGACATTATGGAAATCCTTTACCAATATGACACATAAATATTAAAGTGTTGTCATGAAGCAATATTAAGTCAGTAAAACATCCAAGAAATATTCTGTAACGTTCCAAAGAATAGTCCAAGAATACAAGTTGCGATGAAATGTTGAAAGAATGATTCCGGTATCCAAGGAGTAAAAAATGCAGTTCACATAGATAACCATGTAGTAACAGTGCCACTGACAAAAAATGCTCTCACCCCAGCTAACAAAACTATAGTGACCATACAATTTTCAATTGTAGACAAGTGTGTATATGTGTCTGTGTGTACATATGTGTCTACTTAGACTGGCAGTGGCTCTCTAGGGTCTTAGGCAGAGGTCTTTCATGTAACCTACTGCCATCTGCTTTAACTGGAGATGACTCAGAGATTGGATTTGGGACCTTCTGCACACCTAGCAGATGCTCTTCCATTGAGCCATAGTCCTCCCTATTATTGTGACTATATGGCCATTTTTGTGAATTGCAGTTTTGACCACTTAGATGTGTTAATTTTATTCTTTGAATATTTCATTGCAAGTTGTATTCCTTGAATATTCTTTGAATTTATGATTGCTATGGTGTATTTCAGCCCTTAAATGTTTTGTTGACATAACATTTGATAGGTTATATTGCATCATTATAGTATGTTTTGATATTTATCTCTCATGTTTCTTACTCAGGCTCTCCATAATACACCAGTCTCTCAACTTTGAAACCTCTACTACTTGCATACTCTGTTTTTCTGTGTTTATAATGGTTTGTCATCTTCTGATTTCTCTATATTGTGTTCATGCGCACCAAAATTGTATGCCCATTTCCCAAGTTCACACAATATGGCAATAGCATATACTGGGAGTTTCATGCATGGTTGGTAAGCTCCCTGTATGCATGATCCTGGTGTTTGATAAAAGGGTTATGTCAAAGTTAAAAAGGAACGGAGTTTGGATACAGCTTTGTTTGGGCCCCCTAGTGGCCACATTAGCCTGTAAGGTCAGCATTCAGAATTATCATAGAAACTGGACTTGAGTTCCCGGGTAAATTATGGTGAGCCGGAAATGCCCTATCTTCCCTCCTGTCGTATAGCAATAATCAGGCTTGCACTTGGAGACCAGCAGATCTAGATTCTTAAATCTTTCTCTTCCCTCCCATTCAGGTGGCCATTAAGTATGTTGCCAAGGACCGAATCTTACAGTTCCACCATATGGTAAGATTCAAAACTTTCTATGCTATTTCTTGCATTTAGGCTGTTGTGACACCACCACCCCCGGTTCCTTTGAATGCACTGGCCAATAGGAATTTTGCCTCTGTTCCATTTCCAGAATGGCACGCTGGTCCCACTTGAAGTCCTCCTTCTGAAGAAGGTGTCATCTACAGGTTGCCGAGGCATTATCCGCCTCCTGGACTGGTTTGAGGAACCCGACGCGTACTTCATCGTTATGGAGCGCCCCCTTGTGTATCAGGACCTCTTTGACGTCATCACGGACCGGGGCCCACTTCCTGAAACCTTGGCTGCCAGTTATTTCAAGCAGGTGGTTGAAGCAGTGCAGCATTGCCACCTGTGCGGTGTATTGCACCGGGACATCAAGGATGAGAACATCCTGGTAGACCTCTTGCACGGTGAACTGAAGCTCATAGACTTTGGCTCTGGCGCCTTGCTTCGGGACTCTCCGTATACAGACTTTGATGGTGAGTATGCTATGTGTGTTACAGGGGAGGAATCGAAGACAAGCACCTTGAAGCAGGCCAGGACCATAAGTATCTGCAAGGGTAGAGCCTCCCTAAGGCCAGCACAGGCCGTTGGTGTGGTGAAGCATGACCTATCCCATGGCTTTCTGGCTCCTTTCCTGTGTAGGCCTCCACTGGCTTGGTCAGGAAAATAAAACCCTTTCTCGGCCCTAGACAATAACAACAAGTGATTCTGGGATTCCTCAATTGTATTTATGGGCTTATGGAATAACGTCTTTGTCTTCTGAGGTGGGCTTTGTTTTCTGCAGTACAGATTAAGATGGGTAGCCATGTTAGTCTGTCTGTAACAACAGAAAAGAGTAAGAGTCCAGTAGCATCTTGGAGACTAACAAAACATGTGGCAAGGTATGAGTTTTTGTGATACCTGAAGAAGTGAGCCACAAATTTTGTTAGTTTTTAAGGTGCTACTGAACTCTTACTCTTTTCTGCAGTATATCTGGTTCCCTGTGAAAGGCTGAAGCAGCTGTTTCTGCTCTTCTGCAGACTTGTCCAATCCAAGGCTCAGAACTGAGATTACCTGTTATGTCTGTGAGGAAACTCACATTGCTAGTTTTTTAGGGAAGGCCTGTTAGAGCCTAACCGGAGAGTTCTTGCTGGAGGGGTGCTAGCTTGATTGCTGTTACATGGGTTAGCTATGCTTTAATACACTGCAGGAATCTATTTTTACACATACCCTTGGCATGCATGGGGAGGAGAAATTCCAGTTGGCACTAAGAGCTGCTAACTGATATGTTTGTACACAGAAGCAGGTGGTGGCACTAGTAACTTGACTAATGTGTAAAGAAGAGTGTGCTTTTTGTAGCTGTATCCTGAAAGACATGGGTCTAGTTGGCATCGCCATTGGTAATCCTGTGCCTGGCCTGTATCATTTCAGACTGAAAGTGGGGGCTCACATGACCAAATGCTCCCTTGCTTAAGAAAAACATTCCTGCCGATAGAAGGCTAGCACGTCATGGAGAAAAGTGAAAGCCTTCTCCCTGATACACTGGTTTTCTTTATGCAGGGGAATTTATGTTCCTGTGTAGGCATTCAGTCATGTAGGTGCTACCTCTAGTCCGAAGTGAAGCCCAAACACCAGGTTGTCACCTCAGTAAGAATCAGGCCATAGATTCTGGTGCAAAAGTTTAAACGCCTAAGCCTTTGAACATAATCTGCCCCAGTCCCACTGTTGTGTTTTTCTGCTGTTTATGTAGCAATTTCATCATCATATTTTCGCAATCAGTGCAGTATTTATTGATTTGGTTTTTTTACTCTGGGTGATGAAAAGCAACCAAAGGCTTTTGACGGTTAGCCAGAAACTTCCAAGATAGTGTTTATTGTAGCATAAGCTCTCGAGAAACACATCTGATGAAGAGAGCTGTGTTTCTCGAAAGCTTTTGCCACAATAAAGTTCATTAGTCTAAAGTTGCTACTGGGCTTCTTACTGTTTTGCAGCAACAGACTAACACAGCTAACTCCTTTGGATCTATGACCAAGGTAGTGTTGTTTTGGTTCCAAAGCAGGATGGAGTCCCTCTACATGGGTTCAGCTGCTCTTCTCTGTTCCAATAGGCACCCGCGTGTACAGCCCTCCAGAATGGATCAAATACCACCGGTACCATGGCCTGCCAGCCACTGTGTGGTCTCTGGGTGTGCTTCTCTATGATATGGTGTGCGGGGACATCCCTTTTGAACGAGATGAAGAGATCCTTCTTGGGAAGCTCCACTATCATTGCAGGGTATCTGCAGGTAAGGGTGTTGCCTTCACCAGGCGAGTGTACAACAGATGATCCGTGTCAGATTGTGTCAGCAATCTTGAATAGCATCAGACATTTTAGGATGCACTTGCATCTTTCCAGGTTCTTTTTTTTCTTAACTGGCATCCAGTGGCACAAGACCAGGGGTGGAAGGATCAATACCAGCCTCTGCTGCTGGCAGAATCATAAGGCAAAATGTTCTTGAAGGTATTAGCCATGTGATCTGGTTTAGAATCTTCAATTTGAAGATCAGATTAAGCCACTGGTAGAGAATGGAGAAGGCAAGATGCCTCAGGGTACATATGCTTGTAGAGCACAGAATAAGTTTTAGTGAAAGAAAATAACGTAAGCAATAGAATCATACACTGGGTTGATCTGGTGCTGGGATGAGTGTGAGCCGTCTTTTGTGTCCATGGTAGAACAGGTTTTGCATTCAGGAGGTCTCCAGTGAGGGCTCCCTTCTCATTTGGTGGCCAAAGTATTTGAGCTTTAGTTTCATTATCTGGCCTTCCAGGGGACAGTCAGGGTTGATTTCTTTTAGGATTGACTGATTTGATCGCCTTGCAGTCCAAAGGACTCTCAAGGGTCTTCTCCAGCACCGTAATTCAAAAGCATCTATTCTTCGGTGCTCAGCCTTCCTTATGGTAGTGTTAATAGTCTGTAGTAGTAGCAGAATTAGTGTTAACTTAGTGCATCATTTTGTTTGGTGCCCTTTGGTGTATGCCATCAGAATTTTTTTTTTTTAGGTTTTAATTCGTCAATTAATGCTGGAGCTTTATGGTTGGGACAAGGAAGCACTTGCAGCCACTTGCTAGCATTAAGTATGTGCAACAAGACACTGGCCTCCACGTGGGTGGCCTACTTCACAAATGAATTCAGTAACTTTACTCCTTGCTAGGAACTGTTCTTGCATTACTTACCTGAACCTAATCTAATCTGGAATGTCTTACTTTGCTACGAACGCATCCTGGGTCACCTCAGCCAGCTAGTAGTAGTTTATGTTTACCAATTTGGTGATGTGATGCTTGTCAAAGGCTTTGTCCGCTAGAAAAGTGCTTTATGAATGTTCATTTTATTCTTGACAGACTGCTGTCACTTGATCGAGTGGTGCCTCTCGCTGGTCCCGGAGAAGCGACCATCCCTGGAGCAGATCCTGGCGCACCCCTGGCTCCTCGTTGCCATGGAGCACAGCGGGCGCAAATTGCCGCCGCAGCAGCAGCCACCCACAGTCCCTAAAGCAGGCACTAGCCTGTGACTACAAAGGCCTCTGGACAGCATTGAGGTGGCCTGACACAGACTGTGGACAAAAATTCCTCTCAGCCTCTCCTTCACCAACCAGCGGATGGATTGTCGAACAGCTGCCTTGCCACTAGGGAGGGGGTGGAGGGGGGGTTGACTCATGAAAACCCAGGTCAATGGCAGTAATGCTGCACAGCCTCACTTACTGTGAAGGTGGGACTGTCTCATAGCCTTACCAATGGTAATACAACAGACCAATGGGCACTGCTCCGTTTACACAAGGACTCTTGGCCTATCCTGTTCGCTGGTGAGGCGCAGAAGATTGGCACCAAACAAGCAGCGTCCAAAAGGCTTTCAGGGCTTTCTGGTGTTTTTTGTTTGTGTCCCCCGCACTCCGGGATGGGTTATCGGAGCTGAAGGAGCTTGGAACTTCCCTGAGGAAGCAGGACTGGATGAATGTTTCAGTGTGTCATGGATATGGTGATATGTCGCCTGCAGGCACCAGCTTCTATTTATTTAGCATGATGTTCATTGGGGGAGCCCTGGCTGGTTCCTGCTGTGCTTACACTAAGCATCATGCGCATGGATGCTGTACCCTCTGATTCTCTCCACCCCATGGTCCATTCCTGGCCAGCAATTTCCAAGTCTGAATCCAGCTCCAAACAACAGGCCCGGTTTCTCTCTCCCTGTTTTCCAGGAATTCTTTTTTTTTTTTAAAGGGGAGGGGCTGCATTGTAGCAGAAATGCAAGAGAAACACAAATAATTTAGAAGACTGAAAAATCCAGGCCCCCAAACTTTTTTGACAATAATGAGGACTTTTGACTTGGATGGCCTGATCTGGGTGGGGGTTCCTGTAAAATCCTGGCTGAATACAATAAAAAATTATTTTTTTTAAAAAAGTAAAATCCTGGCTGAATGCTGCAGATGTTTGAAGAATGCTCCACTTTGGTTTTGATTTCTTGGTTCTTCTCTCAAGTTTTCTTCTTCATCCTGGAGAAGCTTGCAGCTGTGTTCAGCCAGGATGTACGGAAATTCCAGAGTCCGCCCTTGGTCACCCAAGAGCTATCTTGCAGAGTTCAGTTGTGAGCCTCAATAGTGCAGTTTTCCCTCACACCTCTCTTTCCCCCTTAATAGACAGAGGGGGTATTTTAGGGAACATATAGCCTTAAGTTGATCAAAAATTATATGGGGCTCATTTAATATTAATTTGGGGCCTTGAAGGGGGGGGGAGAGGATAACAAGCCTTGTAAACGCCATCTTTTGGTAGTCTGAAGACTGCAGATTTTTGTAAATATTAGGATAACTGCTAGGGCCCAATCTCTGACAGGCTCCCGGAGCTCTTCTAGCTTGAATGGCGAGGACAGCTCCTGAGGAAGTCTCCGTATTCCATCACTGTAGAATTCCTGTTTTGCTAATTCTGTGAGGGAATATGGAGAAATGGATCCTGACTCTTTGGAGGGTTAATTAGTGGGGGTGGGGAGGGGCCTGGAGACTAAATCCCATTTCACCACCACCTAGTTGAGTAACCTTCAAGTGCCTTAACATGAGCTCTCTCTTTAGGACATGTTTACATCAGCAGGGAATGGGGCAGGATGTTTGCCTGGAAAGGTTGCGGTCAGAGCCAGGATCCAGCCTTGGGAAGCCCCAGCATCAATTTTTCTGAGCCTGCCTTTTTTGGCAACATGACTGAGTAGTATATTTATATTGCAGTTCAGTATCTGATTTGTGGAAATTTTTTTTACCGTCTGTCATGCACAGTTGTGCATTCGTATAACCTCGCAATGCCGTGCCTGTTTAAGGCTCCAACAACAAAACCGTTTATGCGATTAAACAATTTTTATAACAAAGAACAACTGCTTCATATTTCTTTTGCTGTTCCTATCTGCCCTTGGGTGGGGTGGGAGTAGGGTCGCCGGCTCCAGGTTGGGAAATACCTCAAGATTTTGGGGGTGGAGCCTGAGGGAGGGCAAGGTTTGGGGAGGGGAGGGGAACTGCTTCAGTGGGGTATACCACCATGGAGTCCATCCTCCAAAGCAGCCATTCTCTCCAGGGGAACTGATCTTGGTTGTCTGGAGATCGGTTGTAATAGTGGGTGATCTCCAGGTACCATCTGGAGGTTGGCAGCCCTAGGTGGGAGGTGTCTATCATGGCTGTAAGTAACACATTCCTAGAGCAACACGCTTGGCTTGTGTCCTCTCAGTATAACACACACACACCCAGCAAGTAGTAGCAGTCCTGTGATGATCACAGGGAGATTATTGGGTAAAAGCTGACGAAGGGAGCTTTGATTCTCAAAAGCGAATATTCTGAAAAATCGTGATAGTCTGGAAGGTGTTAATGTACTCTTATCTGGGTAAAAGCCCAGACTGTTTGGTGTGGCATTTGAAAACCAAGAGCCTTAGAGGCCCAGAGCAGGTTCTTCAGCCTCCTGGGTATGGAAAGAAGCTTAAAAACATCATTGAAGAGACAGAGGAAAAACTGCATTGGGTGTGGCAAAGACTTTTTTGATGCGCATTGCTCCCCAAAATGGTCTTTTATGTATGTTCTTTTACTCATGGGCCTTTACAATTTGATATGCAGCAAGGGTGAGTAACTACGTACGACAAGCGACTAGTCAGATGCCTTGTGGGTTGTAACTGTATAGCCAAGGGGATAAGTATTTTGTCTTCGTCATGTCTTCTTTCTACCTTACCAATCTAGCAAATACATGCACTCATTCCTTAAAAAAGTCATTCTCCAAACTCTACAAAGACTCAGACTCTGGATAAATGTTGCATCATACGTCCGCCAGCCTGGCTTGTGCAAAATAGAAGTGGGTTTGCATGAATGTTGCATCATGTGTTCACGGGTTTTGAAGGTTTTCAGTACCAAGTCTAAAATGGCCTTGGATTTTGGATAATGTAACTTATGGCTAAAATGATTTGCTCCTAGATAAATAACTTACAAGTGAACCCTTGCTGTATTCCCATCAATGCTGAGGTGGAAAAGATTTTCAGTGAAAAAGCTGCTTCCTTCAAGGATATTAACGATGCAATCCCATCAAGTGCAATGGGTTCAGAATGATGCAGTTCTGCTGAGGATGCTTACAAGGGTGTGAAGCTGAGTTAATTGGGAGTGTTGCAACAGGGAAGCACGGCTACATTGATTGGCAGCATGCAAAGTTTGGGACTGATTCAACCTGTTGAGTCTGTGGTTGCACAAAAGCTTGCATTCCAGGTGAGGTTCTCCTTAAAATATTGAAGCAACTTCTGGTGGAAGTGAGGTAGTAGTTCTGACAGTTCAAGAATCTAGCCTACCCCTAGTGACTTGTGGAAGTCACACAAGGAAATGGATGGGTGTGTGTGTGTGAGATAAATGCCTTACTTTCAGGTTGAGGAGGTGCTGGCTCCCCAAGATGGAAGGGTGTGTACATGTGTGCGAAATGTCATGTGGGAGATGGAACTTGTCATCCTCCATTCAACTGACAGGATCAAAGCCAGCACCTCAAAGAAAGGGGCGTGTTAACACTGGGAGTATAAACGCTTCTACTGCTGGAGTGCTTTGTGCTGAAACAAGGGAGAAGGAGTTGATGCCAGTCTTCTAGGTA